TTACACTTCGTCCAAAAAAACGCTTCAACAGCTCTTCCTGCCCTCATGAAGCACCCTGCCGACTCTACTCGCCTCGTTACAGGCGCTGAAGTCAATGACCTTTCGGGCTCCTCCGCGGCAGCCGCAAAACCCAGCACAATGCCCATCGCACAGCCTAAGGATCCTGCGTCTGCCCCCTGGTTACAGCCAGCCATCTGGGCGTCTCTTCGCGCCGAACTCAAAAGCCGTGAAACGGCTATTATGGCTCCTATCTCAACATTTGATCTCCAAAATTCTCTTCAACAAAAGTCGTAGTTCTCCTGGCCTTGATGGTGTTCAGTACAACGTTCTCCGTTTTTTGTGCTATGATACGAACCTTATCGACCTAAACATTCAAAGCATACTCCTTCGCTTTCTCAACATTTTACTCAGCCGGAAGAAATTGCCTCAAAAGATGAAGGCCGCCCTTCTGATATTCATCCATAAATCCGGCGACCCATTGGAATACCGCAACTACCGTGGTATCAGTCTTCTTAGTTGCTTCTTCAAGATTCTCACCGGGATTCTCAATGGACGTCTCCAACAAGCACTTGCTGATACGGCGGGCCTGGATTGTAACCAAGGCGCCAATCGCAAAGGCGTTCATGCTGCACACAAGGCCGCTGTTTTATTCAACCTCATCTCGCACGCACGCCAACATGACGCACCCATTCATGTGGTCTACACTGATATCAAGGGGGCCTTTCCTAGCGTCCCCTACCGAGCGTTTGCCGACGCCCTTCAGTGCATCGGTTTGGATGGGCCTTTTCTGGATTTCATACTTGAGACTCAAAACGACTTTACCATTACTGCACGAGGTCCAACCGGTCTCTCTGCACCTTACGGGAAAACAATGGGCGTTCACGAAGGGGACTGCTTTAGTCCCACCATGTTCACGCTCGTTCTCAACATGTTTTTTATCTGGCTTCGCAGTGAAAATCTTGGATATCTCACCGTCAATCATCATTGGTCGCCCTTACGACAACAATCACGCATTCCCGCAAATGGCTATGCTGACGACCTCGCTCTCATTGCGCATCAACATACACATGTTGCTCGTATTCTGAAAATGCTTGAAACTTTCCTCCTGTACTATCATATGGCGCTTGCACCCCTCAAATGTGGTTACCAGTTTCACGATCCAAATCCTCTGTATCGACCGCCTCCCCTGTTCACTTCGTGGGGCCAAATACCTCTTCTATCCCGCACAACACCCTACAAATACCTTGGCTTCCATGTGAACATGGCACTTACTTATACCTATCAGTATCATGATGTTGTTGATCGTCTCCATCACGCCAGCCAGCAATTGCTGGCTCGACAACGGCACAACATATCCCTTGCGGAAGCTGTTCTTTACACAAACTCAGATGTGGCATCTGTTCTGCGCTATCGTATGTACCTGATCACTTTCCCCAAGAAGTATCTGAAAAAATTCCAGACCATTTTAGCACACACAGTTAAAGCCTTGGCTAAACTCGCCTCCTCCACTCCAACAGACCTTCTCATCAGTCAGGGTCTCCTCAATGTCACCAATCTGCAACGTACTGTGCGCACAGACTTTCTTATTTCTTTATTTGATTCCGTGGACGAACCCTGTCGCATAACCACAACTATTGCTTACTCGCATCTTCGGTACAGTCCTCCGAGTCTCAGGCGCTTGCCCTTTCAGTAGTCGAGGATTACAAATTCGTCGCAGAGACACACGCTTACCAATGTTGTTCCGTGCCATCCGCCCCACGTTACACCATCTTACCGCCAGCTTGGATTTACAGCTTGCGTCCATACCCTCTGCAACCGAGCGCTCCCTTTCCAGGATCATTCCTTCCATTCTCGACACTCATGGCCCGCTTCTTACCTCGGCCGGTTTTTCCACCCTCACTCTCGGTACTCTTCTCCCCAAAGTTCTTTCTGCACCTCAGGTATCTTCTCTGGACGACATTTCTCCCCTTTTCGGTAATGATACCATTGACTCACTTTGCAACCAATCATCCTTCTGGCCCGGTCGAACCCTGGGAATTGCAAAAGGGCCGCCAGATTGTTCCTCCATTGCGTGTCATCAGCCAGTTCAGCGATCGGAATTCCTCCGCTTGGAAACACATTCTGCGCGCCGGAATACGCACACAATTACGTCTCACAAAACCTCAAACCCGCTTACTTGCAACACTGGTCAACCTCTTTCTTGAGGACGTTCTTCTTCGAGCCCATACACTATACCCTGCAACAGACTGCTCTGAAACCCCACTCTTCTGGGGTCGTGTCCGCAAACATTCCCTCGGCCATCCTGTGGCATATACCGATGGGAGCGCTCTTGAGACCAGCCAACGTGTTGGATTCAGCATTGTCTGAACGCAGATCAATCATCCACAACCGTTGCTTGTACCTTCCGCTCCCGCACACCTGGCGAGCAAAGCATTAGCCGCGCTGAGGGTTTTGCCGTTCTGGGTGCCCTTCTACTTACCAGACCCGATATTTCCCTAACCATTCACTGTGATCGACTGTCTTTGGTTGATCAAGTCAATCGGCTTTTAACCACTCCAGTTCTACAATCGCGTCTCTTCCGTCTTTCGGATCGGTCGTTGATTCTTCGCATACTTCATGAGATCCGCACGCGGGTTGCTCCCACAACTTTATGCCACGTCAAAGCCCATGAGCGGGATCACTGCCCACTGACATTCGACCTTGCTTCCCTACGTGGGGCTGCACTTCATCAGGAGTTCAACCGATTGGCTGATCCGCCTGCGAAAAGCAGCCTCACTGCCTGTCGTTTTCTCCTTCCGGACGAGCTTACGTTCCGTCCGCCCGCTCTTTTTCGCCTTGCCGAGCCATTGTATCCAGCATCCGCCGCACCGTCTAACATTGTTACTATGTCGTTCGTATCTCCTCCGATTAACATTCATCTGGATGTTGCTCCATCCAAGTTACTCAAATCCATCCTTGCTCATCCTGCTCATCGCTACACCTTTTCGAGTACCTGGCACACTCGATTGTACAGCCAACCATCTGGCTTGGCCCATCGTCCAGTGTCCTGATGTCCCACAATCACAACTTATTTCGGAAGTTTCTGGTTCAAATTATCGGTCGTACTCTTCCCACGTTTCATCGCTTGAATAAAGTTCGACCGCGCCTCTATCCGGATGTGTCCTGCGCTCTTTGTCAGAGCTCTGAACGCGAAACCATTGAGCATCTTTTCTTCCAATGTTCTTTCCTCAACTCTCATCGTTCGGCTATGCTTGCTTGTGTCTTTGATTCCATTTTTTCCAAGTTCTCATTGCCTTCTGCGATTGTTCGTTCTCTTTGGCTTGATATTTCCCTTTTACAGGATTCCAGCATGATCGTTCTCTATCGATGCTCACACTTCGACTTCGTTCAGCTGCTCAGATCCCTCTCTCTCTCCGCGACGTTTTAGAATCATGTCTCGACACACAACACGCCATTAAACTTGGACAAAAGTTACATCTCTCTCTTCTGTCCGGTTTTCACACTCTCTGGTTGGTTCGCTGCGATCACCTCCGCTCTAGCCATCTACTCTTCCGCGATCGCATGCGACTGTTCTCAAACCCCAAGCCTCTTGATCAAATGACCAACGATGATTACGTTCAATATGCGGAGGCCGTTGCTGTTCGCCGCTCTGCACTTTACTCCCCCCCAGTCGGTGGTTCAGCTTCATGCACAGTACTTATACCTGATTCGTCTCTGCACAGACCCACTTTTCCCCACCCCTTGCCTTCACAACCATCAAATCCCCGACCGCCTTCAGCTATTTCACGACCACCCACCGCTTGTGCCTCTGCAGACCGCCTAATTCAGCTTTCCTCACCACCTCAGCCTCGTACGTCTTCTGTTGTTCTCTTTCAATCCGCTTCTCAGGACTTTCCAGCCACTTTTACAATTCACCCTGTCCCAGGTGATGGCAATTGCTTATTCCATGCGCTTTCAGTTGCACTTGATCTACCTGCTGTCGATCATGTCGCCCTTCGGGTTCAAGCTGCCGCTTATGTTGCTTCACATTGGCCACTATATGAGGATCAAGCGCAATACATCCATCGCCTCGGCCACTGTCAACCGCTTCTCCTCAGCGGCAGCCTATTACGATTGGATGACCTCCTGTCAGCCTCTTCCTTGGGGTTCCGACCTTGAAGCCCATGCTATTGCTGTTATTCACAATCGTCCCTTGCTTATCTGGTCCGCCCAAACGCAGACACATGGTTTTCGTTTGAATTTCTGCCCTCAAACGGTTCAATCTGGTGCTTTACACCTTTTGCACTCTGGCAATCATTATGATACCCTTCTATTGGATTTGGCCACAAATGTGCGTACATGTTCTTCGCTCCTAAACGCTCTACTGCACCCCCCAGCTTCCGCCGCAGCAAGTCAGACTCCCCCTATGAGACCCAAACGTGCACGCCGGCCCCCTTCTTATATACGCCACAACTATGTCCCCTCAGATCGGCCCCCTCCTAAACCCCCGCCTCGTCCACCTGACCCTCCTGTTGACCCTCCTATTGGCCTTGTCACTATGCCCCCCGCTTTTGTGACTCGGCCCACGTTTTCCTCCCTTCTCGAAGCAGGTTGGCTCCTTCGCCGCCCACGCTCCAAACGACGACGACTTTCCTAAACTCGCCATCGCGGTAACGCGTATAGCAGTCCCGATGCTCCAGCTGATGAGCTCGGTATGCTCAGGTTATACACTCAAAAAAAAAAAAAAAAGACCCCAAAACATCATATGCTATGTGCATTTAATATAACCATACGGTAACATCTGCAGCGCTTGTCATAGGCGATGATAGGCCCCTGCTTTTGAAACCTTGGCATCGTTCGATCCACCCTCGTAGCCAATCGTCGCCGTCCGATCTGAAATCAGGAACAACAAACTTCGAAATACGAATTCAACTTTGATTTGCTGATACGCGTCCTGAACAATGAATTCCTGTTGATCAGGACAAAGCAAATCGAAAAGGCACATCACACTTGACTGCGCTAGCCCTTGCTTGCTTGCAGAAGCTTCAAGCAGGTGAAGGAAAAGTGCTAGGCCATTACAAAGGCGAAGAATGACTCAAGAGAGGTAGTTGGCTGACATTAATTGAGTTGTGAGGAATACTTACAGCGCTTGCTCGAGCGGTGTTTGCCAAATCTATGAGGATTCAGAGAAGAGGAGTAAGGGTTGGGCATCTATGCAGCCCAGAGTTTGATCAGGAATGGTAAGGATTGCTTCCCAGTGACTCTAAGTATGGTCTGGATAGCTGTGAGCAGTGGCCCAACAGCGGATGGCAAATAGACAGCGTTGTTTCGCAATTAAGCATTGCTCCCATTGACCATACTGTCAAAGAAGTCTCTGGGCCCCAATCAGTGGCTGCTCCAATACATGGACCGCACAGACACTGGAAAGCAGCGCAGGAGGACGATGGGCACGCTGAACATGGACCCTTTTGCAAACGAGGACAGCAAGGCGCGATATGAAGCATACTCAAAGCTGCAGGCCAGTGCTGTGGCGTTTGGGGTGAGCAGCTCTGCTTCTCTTCGTCTCTTGAATGCAAGAAGCTGAGGGTCTAAGCGTTTAATGGAAGCTGTCTGCGGCAAAGCCTGTGCCCCATGTGCTTGTTGCAAGCTAACATGACTGCTGTCTTCTTGAGCAGACATTTTGCAAACCAGTTGCTCATTGAGAGCATTTGGATGCAAAATCTGGGCCGCCAACTTGACCCATTGAAGTGCCTTCCTGGCAGCAGCCAATACTGGGGCCCTTTTGTTGAGTCCAAAACCCAGTCTTAGGTGCTTTCCAAATAGCTAATGCGTTTATCCGCTTACTCATGTGTCAGGAGGAACTTCCAATCCCTGAGATCGTGGCCATTGGGGGGCAGTCTGACGGCAAGAGCTCCTTGCTGGAGGCGCTCTTGGGGTTCCGCTTCAATGTGCGAGAGGTCAGTCACTTCTCATGACTTAGGAGGCTAGCTGAAGTACTCTCATAGGACCTCTCTGCATGTCTGTTATTCACCTTTTGTGCAAGTTACGAGGAGTTCGTGGGTGGCCGTATTGGTAGTTGCATCCTTGACAACAACGAAAGTTGTGCAGGTTGAGATGGGCACGCGGCGGCCCCTGATGGTCCAGATGACCCACGACCCCACAGCACTGGAACCGCGGTGTGCACTGCAGGTACGCTGCACGCTGCGGCAAAACCGCCTCTTGGTTTGACCAGAGATTGAACCGGGTGCAACATGTCGAGCAACCCTTCTCTGCTAGATGCAGCTGCCTGCGTTTGCTTATGGCAGCTCCACTTCCATATGGAAATTGTGAGAAAGCTTTTTCATGGGCGTAATTCTTCTGCACAGGACGAGGACAGCGACGAGTACGGCCCGGAGATCTCTCCTGCCTCCGCTGTGGCGGAAGCAATCCGAGCACGCACGGAAGAGCACCTCAAGAAGGTACTGAACTGAGCACAAGAGCAAACACGCACTGCTGTGCAGCCACATTGAAGCATCTTATACGTTCAGACGCAGGGCTACGCAAAGAACTACCTAGAACAATCTGTAGCATCAGCTACCGAGAGCAGGTTGGCCTACATTTCTGAGGCTGCTCATTGAGTGTGCAGGTGAAGTGCGCGGTGAGCGCCAAGCCCATTGTGCTCAAGGCCCAGTACGCGTACTGCCCCAACCTCACCATCATCGACACCCCCGGCTTTGTTCTCCAGGTACGGCGCACTGACTGGTCTCCACTGCTCAGTGGATGGAAGAAACTTGTATGAACCAATGCCATCCTGTGGACCTTTTTAGGCTCATAGCAAGACAAACAGGTTGCAAGAAGTTGCTCTTGGAGCCCACAATCTGGTGTGCTGCTTTCTGAGGTGACCCATGGACCGCGGTGCAGGCCAAGAAAGGGGAGCCGGAAAACACGCCGGAGGCCATTCAGGCGATGGTCAAGGAACTGGCGGGCAAGCCCAACCGCCTCATCCTTTTCCTCCAGGTGCGTGCACGTAAAGATGCACGATTCTGCATGTTGTGGTTGGTGGGTCCTTTTCAAGAAATACAAAGAAACACTTCCTGTGGGAAATTCCTGTGGGAAAGTCTTCAATGTGGGAATCATGGACGGCCTGAGTTGATGGGTTATTGGCAAGCTAGAAACCATCTGATGCAGCAACATTCGAGAGGCTCTTTGTGGAAGGGCGGGACGTTCTGCAAGGGACCAGTCACATGCTGTTGCGACTGAGCGGGCAGTGAGTGGCATGGCGTGCTTTGGCGGTGTGGTGTGAGCATGTTTCCCCTGGTGTGCGCGCAGCAAAGCAGCGTGGAGTGGTGCAGCAGCCTGTGGCTCAAGGTGGCGCAGGAGGTGGACCCCGGCCTCAAGCGCACCGTCATCGTCGCCTCCAAGTTTGACAACCGCCTCAAGGAGTTTGCCGAACGCTGGGAGGTGAGCCTTGTGCTGTTATGTGAAATGTGATTCAGCAACAGGGCTGTCTCTCCTGTTGTTTAGTGGGTGTCTTAAAGCAGACAGAGGGCCCTCAATATAAATGCAAAGAAGAGGGTGCACACCCGTAAGGAAGGCTGGGTCACGGGAAGAGCAAGTGGCAACAGCGAGTCAAGCAGTATCAGAAGCAAGCTGTTGCCACCGCTTGTCCCCAGAGGTAAGGATTGTTTCATCTTCGACCCGTTCCAAAGACCTCTCCTCCTGCACTATACTAACCGCCTCAAGATGGGCGGTACAATAGGTTGACCTAAGGCCGCCCATGAAAACAGCTTGTGTGTGCACTCAGCTCAGTCTGCTCGTGCCAGGTGGACCGCTATCTGAGCGCGTCTGGCTTCCTGGGCGAGACGGCCCGGCCCTTCTTCGTGGCGCTGCCCAAAGGCGAGCGGGGCACGCATGCTCTAGCCACAGAAACAGCAGAGGACTTCCGACACAAGATTGCGGCAACCGACAAACAGGTGAGCGCACACGTCGCTTGCGGGCTGACAAGAAGGGGAAGCAGGCATTGGTAGAAGAGTCAGCTGTATGGATGCTTGCATTTGATAGAGGTCCTGGGTGTGATCTCTATGGCGGGCCTTCTACCAGGTTACAGTGGCAGGATGATGTTCGTCAAGAACAGCGGGATGCAGCATTTCGCCTGTGCTGCATTGCAGTATCCCGGAGGAAGGAGCGATAGACATCCAGCAGCGTCTTTGACTTGTGTATGTCGCCTTCCAGATTCTGAAGCAGCTTCGAGAGGGCATCGCTGGCGGCTTCGACGAGGACAAGTATGGCGCACGTGTTGGCTTCTGCAACCTACGGCACTTTCTCGAGCTCGAGCTGCAAAAGAGGTGCGCCGCCTCGCACGCTCCTGCGCACTTACCTGCCGGCAACGGCAGCGACATTGAGTAAAGAAACGGGCATACTGAACGAAGCTTCCGAGAAGGGCGAGATGTCCAATGCTGCTGCTCATTTACTGTCCGGTGTTTCTTCTCGGTCAACATAGCAATCGGAGGTGTTGCTGATCGCTTTCATCAAAGTACAGATTCGGCGCAGAGTCTCTCAAACGTTTAAGGTAGAAGCTTGAGGATCTTTCAGAGCCTCAAAAGCTATGACTGCGTTTCACCTACTCCTCAATCCCAGCGAGCGAAGGGAGTAGCGGCTGTGAGAGACCGGCATCCCTTGTGTCGTTGGCGAGCCCCATCTTAGCGAGGACTTCTGCAGATTCTTTTCACCGAGACCATCACCTTTGAACATCCCGCTTCTGAAGCTACTTGGAGGGTCGTCAAGGTGGCTGCCCCGCTCACTATGATTCTGACTCGAAAGAACCCCGTTTGGGTGTTACCACTCTTCGTAGACGGACTCGGTTCCGCCCGGTCCATCCAGGTACCGCGATGCGGCCCCTGCCACTCTAGCCCTCTTGGAGCGGCGCTGCTCTCAGCTATCCACCGAGGTGTCCCGTGCTTCCGCGCGCCTCGCCTCGGCTGCTGACGTGGCAGCGCTGCGGCGAGCCGCTATGATTCATGCCGCTGAGGTGGCGCGGCACGTGACCAGCCTGCTGGACGGGTCCGGGGTGGCGTGTGGGCCGGACCCGGGGGAGTGGGGCAGGACTACCGACGAGGAAAGGCGCGCCACCGCCAGGTCAGCAGCGGGGCCTCGAACCTGCGAGTCTCTGGACCGAAGATGTATGTTCTTGGCTTGCCAGCCATTTTGTCGTGCCACGGGCCTTACCGCGGCCTTTGTTCTTGTTTGCATCTGTGAAGGAAGCTCCGCGTCAAATCTGAAAGGCTATGCAGCTTCTCGAAGTCAGCAGGCGTCAGCCTAGATTCAACGAATGAGCAAAAAGCAGGTCTTTGAAGGTCCTGCAATGGCGAGGGGCATAAGCACCAGGCAGCCAAATAGGACATGCCCCTCTGCTCAACTCCTATTTTCGTAACCGATCTCTGCCAGTGCAGCATATATTCCATTCTCGACCTTCAAAAAATGTTCTTTCATGACGTTTACGACGAGGAAGCTGAACGGGGAAAGCTGCCACCTGGCCGTCCTGACCCACCCCTTGTTTCCGGTCTGCAGCGCGGGCGTGCCGGCGTGGCCCGGAGTGACAGCGGAGGTGAAGCCGGGCAACTCGAGCCTGCGGCTGTACGGCGGCGCCGCCTTCGAGCGGGTGCTGGACGAGTTCCGAGCGGCCGCGTGCAGCCTCGACTGCCCCGCCGTGTCGCGGGAGAAGGCGAGCACCACCGCGCATGCGCTCCCTGCCGTCTCGAACTGATGCTGCTTCCCCTTCACTGTACCTGCAGTCCGATATAATTGATTTGCAACTTTTTAGACGCTACGGATTCGCTCAACGAGGATTTGTCACGATTTTGTATTTCAAAGTTCTCATGTCAGCGCCTTTAATGGTCCGGTACGGAGACGAGAGGCGGAGACCGCGTGCTAGAACAAACGTACCAACGTGCCGTTCTGCTCGAAAAGGTCGCGCTAGTCGTGTTTGAAGATCCCCGGCCGCTGCTGAGTTGTCCTCTGCTGGGCCACAGGTGGCCAACCTGCTGCTGTGCAAAGCGGGCGGCTTCGGCGGCAGCGGTGCGGCCATAGCCGCGGCGGGCGCGGAGCTGGGGCGGTCGGCGGCGCGCACGTTCTTGGCGCCGCTCCTGGAGACGGCCTGCGACCGCCTCGCGCACGTCATCCGCGCGCTCTTCGACCTCGCGGCCGACATGGTCAAGCACAGCGCGGAGGGTGAGCAGATACAGTGACGGCGCTTATGGCCCTTAGGACGCGCTGGCAACGTGGCCTACAGAACTCTCTTCAGGAACAAAAGTCTTGCATAAGAAGTTGTGCGCGCATACTTGTGACACTTTTGACAACACGCACTACGATCAGGGAGGAGGCGGGTTGTTCTTTTTGCGACAGTTTTCTGCTGATACTTGCTGCAAGGCACGACAAAACCAGCATGAAGTATTAGTTGGAGGCACGCATCCCGGAATCGTTTTACAGAGTCCTTTTTCCACCATTCTATGCGGCTGCTCCAATCATCCCGTAGCGTAAGCCTGGATTCTTGCGCGTCCTCGCTCCCTGACTAACTCCCCTTTTTGCCGCCCCACCGCAGAGGCCGGCGCGTGCCCTGTGAGCCTGGCCCCCTACTCCGCGTTCCACGCCGCGCTCAAGGCCGCGTTCGACGGCTTCCTGGACGCCATCCGCGCCGAGTGCGCCGCCATGGCGTGCCACCACCTGGAGGCCGCCACCAGCCCCTTCGGCGTGCACGTCACCGCGCCAGGGGGGGCCGCGGCCTACTCCGGGGAGGGGGGGGGCGCGTTCCGGGAGAAGCTGCTGGGGGGAGACTCGGTGCTGTCGGACAAGTCGTCGGGGCGGCGGTCCGTGGAGGAGACCAGCGACGATGAGAACATGCCGCCGCCAGGGGCAGGTGAGCGGCCATGGAAATGGCTCAATCTGTGAGAAACTGGTAGACAGAAAGGGGTCCCGCTCGCGAAAGCTTTCAGAGATATAAAAGTCAGGAGTAAAGGGAAAGAAGGGCCCTTGTTTTGTGTTTATTTTTGTGGATATTGCTCAGTCCGCTGATTAGGGTCCACGGGTACGACTGCATTTTGCATTGTTTCTTACGCAAAAAGCGACGAGCGCGGCCAACACCGAGCAAAGCCCTTGCGATCGTAAGGAGAAGGCGGAACTGGTTTGAGCAGACACTCGGACGCAACACTAGCCAGGAAAATACCTGCATCTTGCTTCTGCTCCTAAACCGAAGTGCTTCCGCGCGCGCAGGCGTGCGGTCGACCCCTCCCCTCTCGCACCTGACGCGCCTGCGGACGGCGCACTCTCCCAAGGGCCACTCAGGCAGCGGGCGAGAGCCGTTTCGCGAGAGCCAGGTCACCGTACCCGAGACGCCCTCCCCTGAGCAGGTCAGACACCATGAATGACATGTATCAGCGCCTCTGACTTTCCAAGAAATTGCTTCTTACCCAATCTGCCTGAGATACAAAGTGTGATCGTGGGTGTGGCTCTGAATCTTCCATGAAGTGTATGCGAGTTACGGTGTGACCTTGATACGTTTGAATTCCTGCTCGGACCATCTCCCCTTGTCCTCAATGCCAACTTGTCTCGCCGATCTATTACAGGCGGCCCACGACGCGGCCGCCCTGAACAAAAAGCGCGAGTACGCCATTGCGAGCGGGCGGCTCAGCCTCGCGGCGGGCGGCCCCGGCGGGCTCTCCGACTCGCCCGCGCACAAGAAGCACGCCAACGCGGGGAACGCGGCGCGCGCGGCCAGAAAGTAAGCCGCACTCTGATACAGCATTTCTTGCATCTCGAGCGGACCAGTGCACTACCTATGCAAGTAGCTTTGAGTCCGTCTTGATCCCTGTAGTATGTCTATACTTGCCAGGGATGGGACTGCCGCTCGAAAGCTGCACCTAATCGAGTCCCATTCTATCGAAAGTTAGGGAGCCAGTAACTCCAGAGATGGTGGCCGAGGAAGAAAGAACGTGCGCGAAAGGCGAGCCTTCCCGTCAAGGGTCGCTTGGATTGGTTCTAACATGCTCCGAGTCTGCGCTGTGCCGCCGCAGGTATCCCAAGGGCGTGTACGGCGACGTGTGGGCGGCCGCAAGCGAGCACTTCGGCCGCATCCGCGAGGTGGTGGTGCACCAAATGGTACCCGCCACGCTCAACGCCGGCTTCCTCACGCCCTGGTCAGCCTGCCAGCCCCGCCTCTTCCGGCCATCTTGCACGATTTGGGGCTCGAAAAAGTGTCTCCAAGTATCTAGCCGCGTGCTTTCGGGCCACGAAAACCTGTCGATCCGCGATTTGCTTCAGACCCAACTTGCTCCAAGCTGGCACCGCACTCCAGGTTGGTTGATGACAACGGTCAGAAAACAAAAAAGTTCACAAGCGCCGGTAGCACTGCCTACCCAGCTCAAATCACTGCGGTCTTCCATTGACGGGCTTCGCTGCTTGCACCTTTCGCCTCTTATTTTAATGGACGGCTTTACTTTCAACGCGTTTTGCGCACTTGTGGCTGACCGTCTATCATCCGCGTGTGCGTGGCTGCAGCCGCGAGCGGCTGGGCCTGTCGTTGGCGGCGGAGCTGTTCGCTTGCACGGACGGCGTGTTCATGGACATGTTCGTGGCGCCGGGCGCGGTGGAGGCCATGCGCGCGCACAGGGACGCCCTCCAGAAGAAGGCCGCCATGCTCGCGCAGTGCAAGGACGACTTCCGCACCCTCGCACGCCAGCTCTAAGTCGGCACGGAGCGGCGGTCAGGGACTGAAATAGGAGTGATTGTTAGACGGCTGGTAAAGGGGGCTCGGTAATGTATCCTGGTCGTTTCCAACGACAAACCGGCCCAACTGTAGACCACCCACTGCATAGCGAGGATCAGAGAGCGGAGTCGTCGAGTGGAAGGAATGTATTAGCGCGAGTCTCCCGGACAGCACCGCTGCTGAGGAGCTTGACCTCCGAGCCCTCGCTTGATGCCTTCCGGCAGAGCAAAGACGCGGAAATTTCAAGGCAGGCGTCCAGATTAGAGCCGACCGTGTAGCTGTAGACTAATATAGCGACTGCTCTTCCACCCTTCGGCAATGTCAGTAGATTGCCTTTACACGTAGAGTCTCCCTATTGAATGTCAGCACGCCATAGACATGTCAATAAAGTCATGCATCTCCCATGTGATTTGCGGGTCGATGTAGCTTTGGTTATGTCACGCTGTGCATCAAAAGTACCAATGTCCAATCCCAGTGCTATATCGCATGCACCAAATTGCTGTCGTGCCGTGATGAGTCGAGGCTGTGCCGTGTCGGGTGCGCTCAACATATGCAGTCGAAGCGAAAAAGCATGATGCCTATGTAATAAGCTACGTGAAATAGCAAAAACTTATCTCACTTATCTCACTT